GGAAGAAATGTCCACCTCAACACATAGCACCAAACAAAAGTGGTCCTAGTTGGGATTTTATTTCAGTTCTTCCCCCCATAATTGTGTTGGGAAACAGTGATCCTTCTGCTCCAATTTCATTACTGCTGCCTCCCTATCCCTTTCTTCTCTCTAGGCCAGAAAAAGAAACAGTTACTAATTTGGGGACTGTAGCTGATTTAGGAACAACTTTAATCCCATTAAATTTCTGCTCACATTCTACAGTATTAAATGTTGTCACTAGAGAAATGCAGAAGATGAAGGATTTTAAAGGTCATCTGGTTCAGCCCCAAGGCTTTGGAGTAAACCCTCCCACAAACGTCTTTGTGTCCTATGACGTCACTGCCTTGCTTTCAATACCCTCCAATACCAGCCCCAAATATCAGTCCATAGGGCAGCAGGAAGTCATAGATTTGCAGGATGGCTTTGGTTTTAAAGAGACTATTGCAATGTCCCTATAAATCAGGGTGACTGTCTCAGTGTCCCTGATGCAGTTCTTCTGGTTTATTCTTAATGTTACGGCGCCCTTCCTGCCAGGAGCTGCTTTCACCCTTGAAATGGTCTTGCTTTAGACGACTTGTTACGTGGCCATGCTCCCTAAGCACACAGGCATTTATAACATGCACTCCAAGTGTCAGTTCCAAAGACATGGACACGCATAGCACCCATCTGTCCTTTTTTCCATTCTTACCTAGCACATGCCCTCTGGTGTGACCATGCACGTCTGATGATCGCCTCCTCCCTTGTTGAATGCTTGTTCCTGCCTCTGAGTTTCCTAATGTTCCTCTCCCTTCCTGAATGTTCTCCTGCCCCACCACTTATGTAAATCTTACCCATCCTTCAAACTGTGCTTAAGCCCCACTGCTATGAAGCCGCCTCTGTCTACCTCAACCCACACTGATTCCTCCCTTCTCTTAACTTCTACCCGTGACATTTGCTTTGCTAAAATAAGGTAAGGAGGGAAAGACACATCTTTGGTAATGGACTCACTCCTCCTCTGAATGCTCTGCCTATACATTGCTTAGAAACCTGCGGGTAGTACCTGGTCCTGGCAATTTGGTCCTTATCTCAACAGGCTGGCTATCTTCAAAGGTGCTTCATTAAAAAGAATGAGAATATGATGCATAATCCATTTGCACATGCTTTTTTCTTACCAAATGGTTGTTCAGCTAAGAAAGCTGCAAACAGAACATTTAAACTGGAGGCTCTCTCAGAGATTAACTTGCCTAACCTCTTACCCAAAGCCGATGTGCACCCCTCCCCCCCACACACAGCAGCCTTGAAAGATGGCCATCCGACTTGCTGGTAAACACATCATTTCAGCCTGTCTCTCTAGAAACCTTGATCCTTTGCTGGATAGCTCTGGTTGTTAAAGTTCTTCCTTGTAATAGAGTATTTCTCAAAGTTAAGTCTGTGGACCATCTGCACCGTAGTTATTTGAGGTGCTTCCTAAAATTGCCGATTCCCAAGTCCAGCTCCAGCATATTGAATCAGCATTTGGAGCAAGGAGAGAAACAGTCATCTACATTGTTAACAGGTTTCCCAGGTGATATTTATGATCCGTGTGAGATTCGCTGCTAGAGTCAGTGGATTCTATATCGAGAATTCAGCTCTACCTTCCTAATGACAGAGAGCAAGACCCTCCCCTCTTCTTCAAGGCAGGTCTTTCAACACTGGAAGAGGTCAGTTCTCTACCTCCCTTCATTAATACTCTTCGGCAACCCAGGTTATTTCACTCTTACTCCTACTACAAAGTTCCCTACCCTGAACCAAGTTGAGCACACTTCTCCCGGTCTTTCCCTTCCTGCCAATGTCCCCCTTCCCCTGCCAAATATGATGCCCAAATTGAGAGAGAGAGAGCTAGATTTGTAATGCTTTCACTACACGCTGACAATTTTCTGAAGTACAGTTGACTCTTGGACAGTGTGGGGGTTCGGGGCACCAACCTCTTGTGCAGCCACAAACCCACATATAACTTCTGACTCCCTAAAACTTAACTACTATAGCCTGCCCTTGACTGGAAGCCTTACTGATAACATAAACATTCGACTAACACATATTTTGTATGCTATGCACTGGATGCTTATGATACAGTAAGTTGTAGAAAATAGTTTTAAAAAATCATAAGAGACAGGGCACCTGGGTGGCTCAGTGGGTTAAAGCCTCTGCCTTCGGCTCAGGTCATGATCCCAGGGTTCTGGGATTGAGCACAGCATAGGGCTCTCTGCTCAGCGGGGAGCCTGCTTCCTCCTCTCTCTCTGCTTGCCTCTCTGCCTACTTGTGATCTGTTTGTCAAATAAATAAATAAAATCTTTTAAAAAATCGTAAGAGAAAATAATTTACTGTAGTTATAGTACTATCCTGTATTTATCAGAAATATTTCACATATAAGTGGACCTTATGGTTCACACCCATGTTGTTCAAGTGTCAGCTGTTTTATCAATTTACACTCCAATGAGCTGACAGTGAGAATACCCATTTTGGCTTAAACTAACCTCCAGGTATTGTCATTCTGTAAATCTTTGCTAATTTAATGGGCACATGACCTTGACTCCTTATAGTTGTTTTATTTTGGGTGCCTTCAAAAATTTGTTTCATATATATATTGGGATTGGTAGTTCTTTTGAGAATTGTCTGCTTCTCTCTTTTCTGTTTTTGTTGTTGTTGTTTTAATTTTTAACTCATTGTGTCAGTTGCAGTGGCAAGTAAATCCTTTCAATGCATTATCTCCTGTAATGTTCCAAACACTCCCCCCACTCTGTAGGTGAAGAAACTGAGCCTTCAGGAGCCTATAATGAGAAAACACAGAACTTCTGCTTCGTCACTGATTCATCCCTTCTTTCATCAACCTTTTTTTTTTTTGGAGGAGAGCTCTTTACCTTCCAGACGCTTTGCTAAGAGAGGTAATATGTGGCTGACCCTAAAAGACTACCAGAAAAGGATCAAAGGGAATAATTTGGAAATAATGCAGAACTCCTAAACAGTAGCAGCAGAAATCGTTCAAAAGCATATATATAAGTAAAATTGGTTTTCCTTTTTTCCTTTTTTCCATTTTATATTATCTGATGTCCCAAGACCAGTGTTTTTGCAATTAACTGAGATCCTAAAGTTAATTCATTATTTATAGCATTTCAGTCCAAGTAGCTGAGCAGCTCTTGGTTTTTGGTTAATTCAATCAAAGTTTATGCAATTATACTTTAATTCAAAATACATATGCATAATGTTGAAATCCTGATATTGAAATCAATTGAATTTACAAGATTAAGAGAAATGCAAACAACCAAGTACAGATCTGAGTTGGAAGCAAAATTCAAAATAATTTTATCCTACTCTCTTTTTCTAAGAAGGTAACCAGTGCCCAAAGGACAGGAGTTCTCAGTATCACACAGTGAGTTCTGAGATTCAAATGGAGACCCTGTACAGCTGGGCCTTTCACTGATCTCTATTCCTAACTTCACTCAAGCAAACCCTGGTCCTCTCAACTCTTATGAAGGTTTCCCAAAAAAACCTGTAAACCAGTCATCAGAACAGCTAATGCAATTTTTAAAGTTTTGTTCCTCCAGCTCTGCAATTCCAGCCAGACTGATCAAAGTGCTTGAAGGCTATATTCTTCTAAAAGCTTTAGCGGAAACTCAATTTCTTCCTTATTAGTCATTGACAGAAACATATTCATTTGTAATTCCAAAGCCCTGTATTTTGCCCCAAATCTTTCTTTCATGTAATAAACAAACATAATGAAAGAGAGAAAAAAAATGTATTAGATGCCATTTAGGAGGCCCATTTCCCCAAATACAAAGAAACTCGTTTTTTCTTTCTTCTTTACTATTCTAGGTTTCCTGTTACTCTCTTTTCAAACCAATAATTTTGAATTACACAAAAATTTTAAGTTCACTTTCTCAACAATAAAATTTTAGTTCCTCACAACTTAATGCCTGGCAACCGTGCTCTTTTCACAGAACATAAAGACAACCTTGACATTTAAGCTGATGGTTCTAAATGAGGATACAAAGCAAATTTTAAAAAGCATGGGCTCTTCCAATGTATTTGTTAACTGTCCAGTTTCTAGAACTTTATCCTCCACGTTTGATCCGAATTATAGGCACACCCTGGAGATACCGTGGGTTCCGTTCCAGACCACTGCCATAAAGTATCACAATAAAAGGAGTCAAATGAATTTTTTTGCTTCCCAATGCATCGGAAAATTATTATTTACACTATTCTGTCGTCTATTAAGTGTGCAATGCCATTACGTCAAAGAAAAAAAAAAAGGACAGGCCTTAATTAAAAAATACTTCATCACTACAAGCGCTAACTATTACCTTGGCTCTCCACCAGTCATATTCACCGATCACAGATGACCATAACAGACAACAATCAGAGTTGGAAATATCACGAGAATTCCCAAAATGTGGCGCAGACACAAAGTCAGCAAATGCTGTTGGAAAAAATGGCGCAGGGGCAGGGTTGCTACAAACCTTTAATCTGTTAAACAAACAAACAAACAAAAAACCCACAGTGTCTACAAACTAAAGGACCTATGCCTGTATTTGCGGCCGGCGCCCAAGGCCAAACCCGTGGGTCACCCTGTGCTCACACTCCCCCCTCTACAAGCGAGTCACCCCCTCCCACGGTTACGGTTCCTCCACACAGAGACCTCTCCCCACGCACACACCCCGTCCAGAAGCAAACACTCATGCACCTTCACCCTCTCCCCTCCCCCCGACACACAAATCCAAACCAACCCTGGGAGTCATCAGGAAGCAGCACCTTCTACCAAACTGAACCTGCAGAGCCAAGCCCTGAGGCCATTAAAACCGACCCCTTGAAATCCACGTTGACTGGCCACTGTCTCACAAGGGACAGGCTCTTTCAAACCTCTCTTTGGAGATTCGGGCAAGGTGGCCTCCGTGCTGCCCGCAGACGCAACATGGCAGCCTTCCCCAGGACAGGTGAGGGCCCAGAGGTCTGAGGAGCACACTCACTGCAAATCTGACTTGGCAGTTCTCCTCTCCCAGGTAACACAGGTCTCCTGAGACGTTGGTCTCCAGCCACAGGTGCTCTCCGTTCACGGCATTCTCCTGGAAGGAAAAGACCCACCTGATTTCAGTTTTCTTTCCAGGCGTAAAGGGGCGAGAGCTCAAATTTGGGTTTTTGGAGGCAAGAAAGTAAGGGCACCCACAGGGTTTAAGCACTTCTCATTTTACCCCTGAAAATATGACCGGTGCGTGTCCTATCAAAATTTAGAAATAGAACAGGTCTTTGGTAAAATTTTGTCTAAGCCATCACTAAAACAGACATGAGGCCTATGAAAGCTTTATCCATAAGCTGTGATAATCTGTGAAACATATATTAAACAAATAAAGAAAAATCCCTCAAATTGTTCAATGTAAGGTCGTATTTATCCAGGCCCAACACTGCAGATTCCATGACAATTGAGACCAAAATCCTATTAAAAGTTGCCTTTACTTAGCAAATGAGTTAAGAAGGAGGACAGTGGTATTAACGCACTTTAGAGACTGTTTGAAGACATATTTATATCAGTAATGGGTAAATTATGTTCTAAGGCAGAAGCTTCTTAAAACTTACTTTTAAGTCACTGTGTACTCAAAGCGTAATAAATTACTACTAATTCACACTTTCCCTACTTCAGCAGGGCTTTCACCCATATAACATTAAGTTTCTCAAATTGAATGATTTTCCTGCTTCTATAAATGGTCACATCTGATTGCAAACAGAGGTGCTGTGATGGGTGATATGAAACATCCATTCAGGAATGTATAACGTTTCGTTGGGGTGGGGGGGAGTGTAATGCTTCTTAAACAGGACGACGAATAGGATTGCACATTCCTTCTGGCACACTACCTTAGAAACCTGAGGGATTTGTGTATCAATTGTGTATTTTTTGCTCATTTGCTTGAAAAGGACTCTAAGCTATTAAGGAAAGCACTGGACTCGGTTAACCACAAAGAGATGAAGTTTACTGATCTTGGAGGAAAAGTGTTTTTGTTTGTATCTGGTTCATCCGTGGGGCATGCCATGGATTTTTTTTTTTTTCCATGGGAGATGTTATAGACTGAACTGTGACTCCCCCCAAGTTCATATGTTGAATGTTCATATGTTCCTCAGTATCTGAGGATGAAGCCTTTTAGAGGTAATTAGGTCATGTGGGTGGTGCCCTTATGATTGGGATTAGTGCCCTAATAAGAAGAGACATGAGAGGGATCGTTTTCTCTTTCCATACATACACTGAGGAAAGGTCATGTGAAGACAGAGTGAGAAGGCGTCGCAAGCCAGGCCATCTACAAGCCAGGAAGTGGGTTCTTACCAGGAACTAAAACTACCAGTGCCTTGATCCTGGAGTTCCCAGTCTCGAGAACTGTGAGAAATAAATTCCTGTTGTTTAACCTACCCAATCTATGTATTTTGTTAAATGACTTCAATAAGGAGCTTTATAGAATAGCCAAATAATTTAGAAGTCCATCTTACACGAGACCTTAATAATAACTGACTCCAGAAATGTCCACATGACTGCCCTGTGAATCCCAAAGCTCAACATGAAGTTGCAGAAACATATACCGAAGAGAAACTGAAAAAAATACAAAGTGTCATCTATTTCTTAAAATAAACGTATTTCTTCAGATTCTAGTACAATACCTTCCCTTTCAGAGCCTGTAGGCTCAAATGATTTTCAGACAAGAATAACTAGAGGTTATAGATACTTCACCATCTGAGAAGGGTGACACCAACTCTTAGAAGAGTGAGAGTGAGGGGCAGGAGAAATTTCATGAGTTCGGCAGATATTCAGCGATCAGAAACAATGCACAGGGAGACTCTAAGGCGGGGGTGGGGGGCATCCTATGCATGTCTCAGAGTCCTTCAAAAACCATTCCAAGAAGAAAAGCAATGCTAATGAGAATCATGACCGTCCATGTCAAGGGGTGACTGAACATCTTTTCACCAAGACTTTTTCTTCTCTATTGGTCACTTTTCCCTGTAGAAAGTCATGTTCATTTTTTTTTCATGGAAGTCAATGGAAAATGGGGTTCACCTCACAGTCAATCTTGCAGAAAAACAACAGAAGCAAGAGAAGAAGAGCTATAGGTTTAGACCCGAAAAATTTTCAGGTAGGAATGGATGAGGACAGTATACATATTTATTTTTCTTGTAAATGCATACATATATACATATATATGTGAATATATACACTCACACACATACATATACGTGTGTGTGTGTGTGTATCCTTTGTTAGGTATCTTAAAGAAACTGATCCCCACAATCTAAAACAGTCTATTATGAGAACTTGATATCCAACTTTCATTTACAGCCATTTATAGAATGAGATCTCTTTTCATTCTGTTGTTCTTTAATTCATTCAATAAACATTTATTCCACACCACTGGTGCCAGGCACTGGGTTAGTGTGGTAATGCACGACATAAAATCTACCAGAGAATATGAAAACTGAACCCATAATTACAGCATCATATATTAGGGAAACCAAAAGAGCAAAGTTCCTACCAACAGTTTTAAAAAGTGAAGAATAAAATGTTGCAGTGGATAAAATGGTCAAAAACCACTGATAATAAATACAAAACTGATAAACCTTGAGTTAGATTCAGGCATAGAAGGGTCATTGGGATTTGCTAACCTCATTCTTGAGTGGAGATCTGATTAGTCTTTCTAATCACAAAGGGAAGAAAGAAAAAAAGACAAGAAGCTTCCTGCCACAGTGGTTCTGACCCACTGGGTCTCAAATTTGACTGATCATTAAAATGAACTGGTAAGTTTTTAAGAATACCTGGGTACCATCCCCAGAGAGTTTATTTTAACTAATGTGAGGTGAAACCTGGACACCATGAGTTTTCAACATTCTTAAGTGACTCATGTACAGAGTCTGAGACCCCATAATCCAGCAGACCCTGCCCTACCCCCTCAAGTTAATAGATTCTAGAACTTGTCTATGACTAATCTATTAAATCTGATACTTTTCTGTCCTTGTACAGTCACCAGAGAAGAAGGTAAAAGAGGAAGAGAGAGGAGGAGACATTAAGGTAGCCCAGAGAGATTTTAAGGAGAGAGACAGGAAACCACAGATAGTGAGAAGGCTCAAAGTTAACAAGACAGATCCAGGGGATAAGGGAAAAGTCTTCAATGCACAAGCCTTTAAAGAAGCAACAGAATAAATGAGAATGTTTATATACTTAATAGTAATCTTACGTTAGGAATGTACCTAAAGAAATAACCCTAATGGAATAAAAACCATTTATATCAAGAAGTTTATTTCTACCGTGTATAATCAAAAATTGGAAACATCACAAATGCCCCGTGGAGAAGAATGTTTGGTAGAATAATACATGAAACAGAGTATTATAAAGTCATCAAGAAGTGACAATTATGAAGATTGGCCATATGGAAAACTACATGATGTAAAGTCAAATAAAAATAAATTTCAAAATTACCTGTATATTACAATCACAACTCCGAATATAAATAGGAGCTGAAAAAACTGTATTTGTAGCTTGATTTCTGGATCCACACATCCCTGTTAGTTATTTCTACTTGTTCTCCTTTCCTGGAAAAGTTCAAGAATGAGTTTTCTTTATTTGCTGCCCCCACTTCCTTTCCACCGCATTGTTTCTCGAACCCAGCTCATCAGTCTTGCTTCCTTCTCATTCCACCGTAACTATTTTTGTGAAGATCATCAGTGACTTTACATGGCTCAATCCAATAGCCACTTCTCAGTCTTTATCGTAATCAACAGCTTTTGATACAAGTGATCATTCCCTTCTTTTAGGGACGCCTGCTTCCTGGAAACACTATACTCCTTTTTTTTTTTTTTTTAAATTGCACCTCAATGGCCACCCCATCACAATCTTCTTTTCTGGACCTTTCCTGTAATCCCAAACTCTAAACAGCAGAGTGTTCCACAGCTCATTCCCAGATCTTCTCTCTTCCCCAGCCACCTCCAGTCCTAGGTTATTTGCTTTTAGTTCTCGTGACTTTAGATTCCATCAATTAATTGTCGTCTCCCAAATTATTCATACAGTACAAACCTCCTCTTTGAACTTCAGACTCATTAAAACAAAACAAAACAAAACAAAACAAACTGCCCTCTCAATATCTCTACTTGAAACCAACAAGCATCTCAAAATTTTAGCCTCAACTCAGTCTGTGGTATACTCCTTAAATCTACTCTTACTTCAAATGCGGTTTCCATTCTTAGAGCTGGAAATATTTTCTAAAAACTTTGGGGTCGTTTTAGATCTCCTTTTCCCACTCCTGTCCATCTACTAATGTTACTGACTCCAGTTTCAAAATGGGCATGAAACTCAATTACTTACCACTTCAACCGCCACCACCTGATCCTCCATAATCTTTGGCTTGGAATGCCCATATACCCCCTAACTGGTGTCCCTGCCTCAGTCTTGCCTCCCCATGGTCTATTCTTCAGAGAGCAATGAAAGTAATTGCTTTAAAATGTAAATTTGACCAAGCCACTGATAGGCTTGAAATTCCTCAAAGGCTATCCATGAACTTGGAAGAATGCAAAGCTTTTACTATCTAGTCCCTGGGTGCCTCCCTTACTTCCTATCCCTCTGTAACCTCATTTCCTGTCCTGGTTACCTCATCTTCTATCATACTCTGTCTGAGTCAATGACTTGCAGTCACACTAGGCTCCTTGCTATTTATTTCCTCAAGCTGGCTAAAGAAGCTTCACATCAAGTCCTTCGAATTGGCTATTCCTATTCCCTTGACTAATAATTGCTTACATGAGATAACTACATTGTGCCTCCCTCTTTTTTTTTTTTTAAAGGTCTCTGTTCAAATGTCCCTATATCAAAGGCTGTTCACTGCATATGCTGCTTAGTCTATCCAAATTGTTTACTCCTCTCTAATTTCTATTCACTTACTGGTCATCAGATCCAGTGTTACTCCTTCCAAGAAGCCATCACTCGCCCCAAAGTCTAAGTGAAGTTATTTGTTAGTTTCTCTCATAAAACTGTGTTCCCTTCCAATAACCTTTCTCCATTGGTAATTATCCATTCATTGGAATGATCCTTTGATTAATGTTTCCT